TTCCAGTTTTTGTATTTAAAGCAGAGAAATGTAAATTTATAAAATCTTAAATGCCCCTTATAAATCCATGCACAAAATATCAGATCTATTTTACAACTTGCTTCTTTTTTCTTATTAAAATTTAAAATAATTTAGATTGTCATTTTAATATTATCCTTGTTTAATTGAATGTATCAGCAACTGAGGAGATACAATAACCGATAACTGGCTAGTTTTAATTTATTTTGGTTCAAATTCTGGCAACTGAGGGAAATGACTGCATGCCAGCTTTAGGTTTTTCTACATATGTACAACAGTTTCTCTTAGAAAACTTCCAAATAGGGATTCTTTTTAAGATTTGAGCCATGGAATGCTCAGTTAAAATATTTAACCTAATCTAACTTTTTAAAAATTTTTATAATTTTATAACATGAAGAATAGTTAATAAACATTTATCAAAGATGCATTAGTGACATTTCTTCCATAATCTAAAAGTTTATTAAATATAATAAACTATAATATCCATAAAAGGATTTTAAATGAAATTACTTTATTCAGCACTATTTCAGCAATACATCCATCAGAAAAACATCATGGAATTTCATGTGTATACATTTCATATCACAGAGAAAAATCCTGTGCTGAATTAAGTAAAGGAGTGTTACAAGTGGGAGGATGTTTACAACAACTTGCTATATCACACAATTAATATTCTGTAAAAGGACTTTGCAGTAAACTTCAGATTACATAAGTTTATCAAACATTCCTATCTGAACAATAAGAATGTAGCTGTCACAATATGTCTATATATCTCTAAAAATGTATAATAACCTTTACAACACTAAAGAGTTCTTCATTTTAGCGAGAAGCATTCTAAATAATTGTTTAACCAGATAAATAGTAAGTAAGTATATAGATAAGTAGATATAAATTATTGTTTAGTAAACAGGGTTCATAGCCACATTTTAGTTAAAAAAATAAGCACCTGTCTAATTACATCATACACAACTGCATAACCTTAAAAATTAGACTTGTAATTTAAAATATGAGAAATGAAGTACTTATTAGAGAGAATAAGCATTACCTCAACCATGGAAAATAATTACTTTCTTTTTTTTTTAATTTCAAATAATAGTTCAATTTACAGAAATAGTTTACAATGAGAGGAAAAAAAAAAAAAAAAAACTATAAAGAACTAAACCATATTACAAGATTTAATGATGAAATTTCAGTTCAAAATAGAGAAAATAAATAATAATAAGGCATATTTATTGTATTTGCTTGGAACCTATAATAAATACAATTTATTTTCCTACTAATATCGATATTTAAATAATTTAAATCTAAATTCTGAACATTTTCTAAATTTTCATTGTATATCAGTTTTCTCTTAACAGATATTGCAAGCAAAGTAATTTAAGTAAAAAAGAGGAACATTTCTGAAATCAGAAGACAGAAATTTGCTTCATGCAGTCATCTTTAACAGTAAAAGCTTAACTAACCCGCATACTTGAAAATTGGCGAATATTCGGACAGTCAAGCGTAACTTGAAGGAGCGGAGAAAGGGGGGGTAGACTGTAGCTGCTCTTTAGATTTTTCTGCTAAATAAATGCTTTTGACATTTCAATATGTGCATCATATAAAAATAAACCAACGGAACTAAAAAATATTCTGCTTAGCAAGCACAGTAAAACTCTTTCAAGTGTTCATAAACAAATCTCCAACTGAACATCAAAATGAATTATCTCTGCAAAATATCGCAAACGTTATTGTGCAATACATGTGCCTTAATTCTTCTCTACGTGATATTATGCAATCGGAATCAACAACTGCAGGTATTGGGAGAATAAAGAACTAAATAACTGGTGTTTTTCATTCTAACTTTCAACAGACGGCGTTAAAATTTCCGGAATAGAATCATTCTTTGCTTGGGTTGGTAGACCGCAGAACTTTTAGTCCTAGTCAATCCAGATTGGAAAGTGACCCCCCCCCAAAAAAAAACATGGCGGTAGGAAGTAAGATGGAGTCGCCCTAAACAAGTTTCTCCCGTACCCTGCTCTGAAGCACCGGCGATCCCTACGTGGTGACCAAAACATCGGGTCATTTACCATTGAGTTCTATGGGATTTGACGCGATCGGATGTAAATATTTTGTAATTACGTCGTAAATATACATATAAATGTATATATTTTCTTTTTCTACACACTTCAGAGTCATAAGTATGTGAAAACAACATATTTTTAAACAACATTTCATTCTGAACGGAATTAAATGCTATACTTTTCACAGGACAGTTTTCTCAGAATGGTTTTTAATTTGAATGAAATATTTTCACAAGTTTTCGTTAATTACATTAGAAAAAAAAATTAAGGTAATTTGATTTTATTCAGTTAAGGTACAAAAATTAAGATCAAAGTTTATTGTATTATTAATATTAAAATTATGCATTATTTCTTTTCTATTTATAGAGCTTCTTCCTAAAATACTTTCTTAAATATGACATGATTTTTTGGCTTCTGAGGCATCTTTTAAATCGAAAAATGTAAGTCAATTTATAATTAATGCTTTATTCGGTTCATTTTAAATTAGAGAATTATTAGGAATTAGCGAAATACTTTAAATAAGTATTTTGCTAATTCCTAATAATTAAATAGGTATTTAATAGTACTTGACTTTCTCTGAACATTTCTGAAAGGGAATAAAATAAGTTTTTGTTTTTTAAGTATTATTTAAAACTTGTAACTGAGTTATTATAAAATGTAAGGGGAATAATTCTTTTAATTATACTTATCAGGTTTTTTTTTAACCCTTCATTTCAACAATACATATTCCAAAACTTTTTATTACGTTCTTAAGTGCGCATCTCATAGCATTTGCTTTACAATACCTTTCAACAGATTGCTTTCCAATACGAACAATTCTTGCTTAAATAGTTTTATAACGTATTTGTCAACAGGATTTCAATTTATGTTTACAATTCAATATTAAGGTTATTATATATTTAGATAACATTTATAATCATTATAAATTAGATACATTTAATAATTAGATTTCTTCACAGTACTTTCACAGTTGTTTATAAGTGAATAAATTATTCATTTCAAATACATTTATAAATAATTTAATGAATATTTAAGTATTTTGTCAAAGGCAGATACATGCTTTTTGCAAGCACATGCATAAATACCCATACATATTTCCTATTTTTCATTTCTGGCATGTGCAAATCTTTAATTTCTGTGCATTCACTATATTTTTCGTGTAAAGTAATTTACACTAATTTAGCATACACCCGAAAGTTTTACATAAAAAATATATATGAATATAATTTGAATGAAAATTATAAGTATTCTTTTTAATACCCACTCAAAGGTCAGTGTTTCTTCAAAATTCCTCCACGATGGCATCTCTCTTTTTAGGCAGATAGCCCTTGCATGCATTACTCTATTTAATAAAAACTTAATCTGACCTATGTGCCTAATTACAAATATTTTAACATACATAATTTTATATTTATAAAACGTGTAAGCCCAAAGTGATTATTTTTTCAGATATATAAAATTTAAACGATGGGTTTAAAATGAGCAGCAGCAGTAAAGCCTCTCCTCTAAAAAATTTTAAAAGGTACATGTTACAATAATATATGGATGTGAAAAAAATTTGTTTTATTTAAAACATTTTGACGTTTGGAAAATAAAATAAAAGTAGCGATAACTCTATCAAGGGTATCGAAAGACGTATACAATTTTAAATGTACCGTAAGGTATTTTTCATTCTTTAAGCATAACATTTTTCTTAAAATCTATATTTTTGTAGTGCAACAGCTTATAATTTTATAAAACAAATTCATAATCAAAGTTATCGAAAAATAACCAAGATGTCATTTTTGCGTAAATGTCACTAAACTATACAAATTGCTATTATCCATCACACTATGAATGTTTCTTTCATGCGAAAGTGTCCCTTTTTCGATTTCTATGGAACTATCGTGTGTCGAAATACTATCAGAATCTTGTCAAACGAGCTTCTGAATGTAAACAAAGAACACCCCATCTGGTGCCCCAGCTTCAAAGCAGTGCTTCACTTTTAGCGCCGGTTGGCCCATCCTCCCTCTCCTACCTCCATGAAAAAAAAGGGGCGGTCCATTGCTTGTTTTGCAACGAACTGTAACAGTTTCAATATTCAAGATTTTGCGGAGAAAGGGGAGACCTCCCAACCTTCGTACTGTATAATGTATTGGCCAAAAAATGAAATTACTTCCTACCTCCATGAGTATTTGGGTGGGAGGAAAAGAATGTCAAATGTAGCAGAATTTTCTACTGCTTTCGCAATTCTTTGACCAATAGATCGACGGGCACCTGTCTACTCTTCGTGCACACCAAAGGTTATGTTAATGCAGAGAAAGGGGGAAAAGCTATTTCCGGGAGTATGACTCATCTGACATTCCATATTAGGAAGAAAAGTATAAGGGCTTTAAAGAAAAAGTAAGCACCTATAAGGGCCTTTATATTTTATTTTCAAATATAAGGACTTATAAGCACTTATAAGGACCGCTACGAACCCTGGTAAAGTAGAGGTTATGACAGGATAAAATACTTGTTATTCAGCTCTCAAGTGAAAATGTTCAAAGTTTAAAGACTGCTTAATTTTACCATTACAACAGCTACATTTGAACAGTAAATTTAACAATACTGTTTGATCCCTTTGATCATTTCTGCAGAAAGTGGTAAATAGAGTAATATTTAAAGTTTAATGACTGCTTAATTTTACAGTTACAACTGCTACATTTGAATAGCAAATTTAACAATATTGTTTGATCCCCTTTGATCATTTCTGCAGAAAGTGGTGAATAGAGTAATTACTTTTATTTACTTTGCATATTTTCTTTCCTTAGTAAAGGAATATTTCATTAATGTAAAATTAGTTCAGTATGTATACTATATAGACTTCAAATTTTAAATAAAATGTCATTAAAACATTTTTGTGTGAATTGGTCAATAATATTTTCTAAAAACTAAAAGTTCATTGTAAAATATTTTATTTGTTTCGTTTTTGTTGATCGATTATATCATTATAGTATTCATCAAAAACTGCTTGATTGTGTTTAACCAATGATAAAAATTGTCCAGCAAAACTTGAGAGTTCATTTTGTAAAGATGAAAGACCAGGAGGTATCTTCAAATTAGATGATGAGTGCAAAGCTAGTTCCAAGAACTCCAATATACGCTTAGCTAAAAATTAAAATGCCATTGAAACAAAATTTTTTTCAAACATTATAAGTACATTCAAACAGCAAAATAATTACACAAACTTCTTCTGTAAGACATATATATATATATCATGTCTACAAAAGTCCTTACCCAACCTTTATTTTCGCAACAGTTGGTTTTCAACCTATACTTCCAAAACAAAAGTGTTTTAAATGATGCAAATATTCATGTTTGGACATTAAAAAAACTACGAAGTCTAAATTTTTATACATTATTTGTTCTTTATACTTATATATAGGAAAACTTTATGCTCATTATGAAAAATCAAAATAAAAAAGTTTGATTTCTATATGACAAAAACTGTGCAAGATAATTTAATTTTAAAATTTTGGGTTATTTGACATTTTGAACTTGAATTTAAAGTTCAGTTAATAAATAAATTAGAAAAATTCGAAGTTAATTTTTTCCCTTTAAATGTTTTCTAATGATTGATATATTGTTTTGTGATTTACTAATGGATAATATTCCTTAATTTGTAAGTTTTCAAATACTAAAAATTGTAAAAAAATTAATATTGTCATGAAATTTTGTTGCTTTGTAAACATAGTGTAATAATAAAAAAAATCATTAAACTAAAAATATTTCTAATTTATGTATAAAAAAAAAAAATATTATGAGCTGGCAGTATTGAAGTTTGCACAAGTTTTCTAGAACACTAATTCTATACGATTCTGAAAATAAGATTTCCTTTTTGAAAAAAATCAAATTGTCAATACTTTCCTTAATAATTAATATAGGCATAGTTTGACTGTCTAAAATTCAACCCTGGCTGGCATTCTTCCAAAACACGTAGACTTGTCCAGAAGAGGCATTAATGCTTGCTGCGACTTAAAAAGTCACGTGAAAGTCTTCCCCTCTCCGGAAAGAGAGAATGGAGGGAAAGAACGGTCCCCATCCTTTCACCCTATTTTGAGAATAATTCAGTTCCAATGGTGTATGCGTATTTGCGCTCATGGTTGCGGATGAGGCGGTCGAACTATATCAATATCACTTAATCTGTTAACATCAGAAACCTTTTACTAAATTGATATTTTAGTTTTAATTGCTTTTAAATGTGTATATGAAACCTAAATAGGCTATCCAAATTTAAAATGAAATATCTCAATCAAATTTTGTTATACAAGAGCAATGCATTTTTATTTTGCATTTTTTAATCAGTGCAAAATTTTCCAAAATGCAAGTAAGGAACATATAAAATGTGAAATTTTGTAATTTTTATACAGTATTTTTTAAAAAATTTACATGCCAAAACATGAAAATTTTCATCTTTTAAAACATTTTTGCAACTGGAAGTATATGTCTGCAAGCAATGATTATGGAAATTGTTATGTCCATATCAGCACTATGTGCTCATATACACATATAAAGTATTTGAAAGAGTTGACAACAGACTTTATTTTTTAAATAACAATTTTAGTCATGTCTTTCAGAGTAACAGAAGTTTATGAAAACAGTTTGAAACTGCAATTTGCAGTTCTCCTGAAAGTAACTTTCACTATAGCAAAAATTTCCATATGCTTAATTATTACTGTGCTTTAGTAACTTAAATACAAAAGTTTCCATACTAACATGCAGAATTTATGGAGACAACCCAGAAAAAATTTATTACTTATTATAAATTTTCAGTGCCTCTTAGTGATTGAATCTCAATATTTTTTAACTAAATTTAGGGTGCAACACAAAGAACAAAAGAGGAGAAAAAACTGGTAGGCCAATGAAAAAGAAAAATTAATCATTATATCTTCAAATTATTATAAAAGTATTGATATTCTACATCTACAGCATGATGAACGAGGGGGGGGGGGGGATTTCATATTTACAGAATCTTCCCAGCAACAGCATTAATAATTAGTTTTATAAAATTTTCTATTTTATTTTGAGCAATTTTATAAATCAATGGTGAAGGTTAGGATCAATATTTAAATTAAAAAAAACTGTAGTCACACTTCCACAATATTCTGTATATTTCTACATACAGGTATGTCCAAAACACAGGTAGTTTTGAAATGTTTTAAAACTAAATTAAAAATTAAAACAAAGTTTAATAAGTGTAATATAAAATAACAAACTTGCGATTTCAAATTTGATTAATTGATAACAGAAAAGCATTCACTAATATGCATTTTTGCATTCCATTTCTTTATATTTTTAAAAGGAAAGAAATAATTTATCAAGCAAAGCAGTAATAACAATTTTTGAAAAACCAATTTTGGTCAAGAAAACATCTTGCGCAATATGCTGCAAAATAAGTAAAAAATAAAAATTGTAGAAAGCTCACCTAAAAGTTACCAAGAGCTGCTGCTCCAAAAGGTTTAAGACGTTTTCAAAAATTAATACACATGAAAAGCAAATCATTAGACATGTAAAACATAAATACAATAAAATTAAAAAACAGAAAAAGTTAAAAAGTAAGCGGAAAATGGTAAATCAGCCTAATTCGACATCCAAACAGGCTTTTCAAGGGAAATTTCATTTATTTGAACGTCGAATCAAGCTAACCCCATTACGCGTTTCGCCAAAACAGACAATTGAAACTTTTTCGCTAAAAAATTTTTTGACAAAGTGTCTTGGAAATTTTAATAGTCTCAATTCTCTGTTCCAATTTCCCGACGCGTCCGCTCAGAATGACACATTAAGGTGTTAAAATATGTTAATCAAAATCAAACTTTCTAAATCTAGTCTAAAATTAAAATCAAAACGAAAATAAATAGCGATGAGCTATTAGTCCTAAAAATACAAATACATTCGGGCTGGGCCTGCAAGCTTAAAGATTAACAATTTTATTTTTAAAAAATTGATTTTATAAAACTGTAAGAAAACCTGTAGTCAATAAACAATATAAAATAACCATTCATCGGAAAACTGCTTTTTTACGCCTCGCTGCGTGAAGTGTTCTGAACAACATTTGTCCGACGAAAGGAAGAATTGCTGAGCCAAGGTGCAGCAACTGCAATGGAAATCACACAGCTTCATATAAGGGTTGTAGTAAATTCCATAAAAATAAACCACCCATGAATAGGAAAGATTCTACTGTAAAAAACGGAATTTCACATGCTCAAATGGCTACACATCAACAAGAGCACCCAAATTTTACACCTTTCGAAGGTCCCACCATGTCGTCTTCTACTGCACTAAATGTAAAGTGAAAATGTATCAGAAATTAATGCTAAGAATAATAGTCAATCCAATGGTCAGCCCAATAGTAATGGAAATTATAACAAGAATGCTAATAGAAAAATTGTTATGCAAAATTATACTGACAAAAGTCAGGTTTCTGAATTGGCTACTTTTATTAAACGTATATCTAATTTAAATAATATTTTTGGAATCCAGAATATTTTAATTATGAATAATGTATTTAAAAAATATATGCCTAAGCTTAATGCTCTTACTGATAGTATGGACAAAATGTTTCTGTTTTTTGAAATTATAAGTGAAATTGCTAATTATGTATCTGAGTAATAGTAATCAGTCTTTAACAATTATTACATGGAACACAAATGGATTGCTCCCTAAAGCCTTTGAGCTCAAGGAGTTTATGCACGAATTCTGCCCTGACATTCTACTCATACAAGAGCACATGCTTGGTCCCCACAATACTTTCAGAGCATGTAACTATGTTACCCACAAATGGAATCGACCGATGGCCGGGAGATATGCTTCCCAAGGAAATGCACGAGGAGGACAGCTCATTTTGAATAAGCCCATTTCTCATCATATCACACCACTGCCACAGCTTCTAGCCACAGAAGCCTTATCTATTACACTCACTCCAAATACATCACAACCACTCACTATTATCTCCACCTATTTCCCTATACACACACCAGCAAATTCTGTAAAGGCAGATTTGCAAACTTTATTAAATACTTACAATCGAGTCACTATAGGTGGAGATTTTAACGCACACCACCCCGAGTGGAACTGCTGGGATATTAATCAACACGGATGCATTATACACAAATTTGCCCAGGCGGCCAATGTTAACCTAGCAGTCCCAGTTAAACCAACACACTGTGGTATCGGTATACCATCTGTAATTGATTTCTTTATTCTAAAAAATATTAATAATCCTGATTACATTGAAAGTTTGTCAGAGCTTTCGTCTGATCATAATCCTGTTATGATGGAAATCAAAACCAATACCTACAGTATACCACACAAAAGAGCCCTTATTACGAACTGGGCAGGTTATGCCAAAGCTCTAAGCAATGCTCAGTACATGCTCAATACAATACAGACGATAGATGAGTTAGACACTTTCACAGAAAATTTCACCGAAGAATTGCACAGTGCATTAATGAAAAATAGTAAAGAAACGAGAGAAGAAAAAAGATTTAAAAATAGTGCCATTAGAAAACTTGTGGGAAAAAGAAATCATGCCAGGAAACAATGGCAAAGGTCCAGGTGCCCAGCCGACAAAGCTCTCATGAACAGACTTAACCAAGATGTCAGGACTCTTATAAAAAAACGCGCACAACTCGACTGGGCCAGATATTTAGAATAGCTTTCAGCAAACGATAGCTCTGTCTGGAATGCGGTTGTTAAGTTTAAAAGACGCAACACGAATATTCCGCCCATTAACGGCCCTTCTGGGATTGCTTACACTGATTTTGAGAAAGCAGTATCTCTTGCAGATAATTATGCTTCTCAATTTCGCACACTCAACATCCATCACGCACAAACAGAACACGTTGCGTCTTCCCTCATTACCCAATTCAATTCAAGAATAAACGCTAACAACACACCCTTAATGATGCCATCGGAAGTTAGTAGTTATATTGAGATGAGGAAAAATAGAAAAAGCCCTGGTATAGACAAGATCAGCAATAAAATGATTAAAGAAATGGGTCCGAAGATATTATGTAAATTTACGAAATTAATAAATCCAATGCTCAAAATTCAACATTTTCCAACCAGTTGGAAAACTTCAGTTATTGCTCCAATCTTAAAGCCAGGAA